ACCACCATAGCCTAATTTTGCACTGCATGAGGAGGATTTCTTTTGTATCTGTTTGGAATTTCCTGGGATTATAAGTATCTAATCCTTGTGTTATGCAACAGGTAGAACAGAATACTTTTTCTTCCACTTCTTGGTATCTGTTCAGAGCTTGCAGCCTAGAATGTAAAGTGTCTCTTTTCCAAGTTTGTTTTCCTTGAAGTCCAGGATACTTCACCTATGGTATTGTAAATCATTACAACCATTATAAGCCAGTATTTTCTCTAAGATTATTAAAAAACACAACTATAATACTACTGATAATCAGAAATCTACCTTTTAAGCACACTTTTATTTAGCATTTACCTGATTCGTTCATTAGGGAGCACTACACGACTATAGAAGAATCAGTGGGGTTTGCAGAAGAAACTTGAGATGCGTTTCTAGTGATGCCATTTCACTTTCCATAACCTCCCCTTCCAGACTGTCTGGGGGCAGTGTAAAATGAAAGTCATTGCTGTAATTTTTACAGTCATTGCTGTAATTAATTGCTTCTGACTAAGACTTTTTTTGATAGCAGTTTATAGTAATTATGCTAGAATATAAACTTGCAAATTCCTTTTCTGTGTGCAAAGAAGTGTCTTCAAGTAGTTCACAGCACTGTCTGATTTGCCATTTGTGTTGCTCTTACGCTTAAGATGTTGCATACTTCTACACATTACTTCTAAATGTTAAACCTGGAGCATAATTACACTCACTGGACTTTGATTTAGCTTGTATATACATTTGGAAATACGTATTACTTCCAGTGGATCCTGATGAGGAAATGTTAGTCTTAAACAATTGCTTTCTCACCAGCACTGTATACAAACATATTTTGCTTTTGGATGTGGACCTTCCCGTGGTGAACACCAAAATTTTTGTAACTGGAGAGAAATTGCTGTAAAAAGCATTTTATAAACTCAATACAGGAGCAGAATGCTTTGCAGTAATGAATGTTAATCTGTACTAGTATGTTTCTGAAGAGAACATGCAGAGAGTTGTGGGTTTTTTCCCAGATATTTGAGTTGATAAGGTGCTACATTAAGAAAATTCCTTATTATTTTATAGGGCTTTATGTTTCTATTTAGTTTAGCGCTCTCCTCATACATGTTAGACTACATTTGCAGAGATTTCTTTTGAGATTTTTCCAAATTTCAAAAACTTTCTTCTTTTGGGGCCATTTTTGTTCTGCCTTTTACTAACACATGTATCTGTGTTAGTTTGACTGGAGTGTTTAGGTTATATAGACAGTATTAAAAATAAGGAAATAATTTCATAAGCTTTGTTGCATGTTGAGCCTAATTTTCATCGATTTTTGTCCTGTTTATGTGTGCCTCTTGCTCTTTACCCTGTCTCCTGTGGTACCTTTGCAAGCAAATGGCAGAATATTGTAGGACCTAATAAGACTTGTTTTCAAGGAGACTAAGCTAAAACAGTCTTGTCGATTGTTTAAGGGTAGCCACCCACAGAGGGTAGGAAATCCAGCCAAACTGTTTTGATGGAAGTTGGCAAAGAGACAATGTGCAAGGCCAAAAGCCTCCTTTGAACTCTTGTGCAGGAAAGGTGCAAAAATCTTAGAGGTAGTTACACATGTGTTTTTAGCTTTCTCTTGAGACTTCTGCCAGTGGTGCTGCACCTGCCTCATTGGTCTGAAGTCCTTTCTCAACCCAAGTGATCTGCACAACTGAAGCAAAGGGAAGACGATGCCTCTGTGTTAAATCTAGAGAGTAAAGGAACATGATGGTAGTCTTTTTCTCCTGGGAGTGATGTATTCTCCGTGAGACCTTTTGGGAAGTAACACCTATTGTGGTGCATTGTCAGCCCTGTGTCAGTGGTTGTTGTGTGAGTAGGCACTTATTGCCTAATACCACTTAGGTCAGGAGTGTGACAGATGACACGACATGAACCAGAACTGCCTAGAATAAACCTTGTGGTCATCCTTATGGCTGAAAACACAAAGTAGTCTTTGGCGTTGACAGCTATTGCATTGAATGATTAACTCTGGTCAGCGAAAAAATTAATGCTATTCCATGACCCATTCAAATGTCAAACATGAATATGTTGTATTCAGTTGGGTTTTGGAGGACATTACTTATGTTTCACACTGGAAGCAAACAGCATGATTGTACTGTTTCCAAGGGTGTCTGTTATTCTGGTCCATGCCAGCTTGTGACTTCACTTTTACAACCTCTGTCAAAACAAATCTTTCAATTGCATGGAGCCAGTTCTTGGTGTGTAATAGTCTGAAATGCTTGTCTCTTAATAATTCTGTAAATTGCTATCTGTTTTATGTATAAGGTACTGCTGTAGTCAATGTTTTTTTCGCTAACTATAATGTGAAAATTTTAATCTTAAATCTTTGTTTAAGCATTAAAATCTGAAACATCTTAGGATAAAAATGAGCCAGATCTTGTTTTATAAAACGTATCTCACAGCAATAGTTAGACACAAAATACTAGTGTTAACCCTTCTTATCTAGTTTTAGTTATAACTAGTGGTTGGTTTTTTTGGTCCTTTAAGAAAAGTTGAGTTAGTATACGAAGGCATTAATGTAGCTGTGTACTCAGATAGGGACTTATGTACCCTAGTTTTACAAACTGGCCATGATTAGGTGCCCGCATGTTTTCTGATGGCCAGCCAAGCAACCCCTCCATGGAGGAAGAACATCTGGTTCTCCACACCGTCTCTCTGATTATCGTTTTTTCCCTTTGTTTTTTTGCATGAAAAAAGTCCCAGTCCTAAGGAGCTGAACCTAAGCCAGCAGAACACCCTTGCAGCAGTGAAGGCCGGTATTGCTGTGTTTGCAATGTGCAGCGATTAGGTTGAGTGAAGTGACAGTGCCTACCTACTCAGTGCTGGCAGGGCTGCAGCGAGAGAACCGCATCCAGCTTGGGCTTCCTCTTGATGCTGGGGTACTGAAACAAGCCCACTGGAAGGGCTTGTCGAGATGACATCGGGAATGGAACATGTGATGAAGGAGAAGCTAGGGGAGGGGGCTTATTCATTCTGGAGAAAAGGAGGCTAAGGAGGAGGGGAAAGCTTCCTGCTGTCTTTGAGTGTGTGATGTTGTGGTAAAGATAGAAAAATATTTGCAGCTGCGTAGTGTTTCCACATATTCCACTATGAAAAGTCAATAAGGGAAATCCTGATAAGCTATTAGGAAAAAAAAATTGCACCATGAGGGGTTTCAAGCATTGGAACAGATTGTCCGAAAGGCCATGACCTCTACATTCTGAGAGCAATTCGAAGCTCATTGTAGCCCCAGGCAACCTGATCTATGCTGACTCTGCAGTTGAGCTGGAGGTTGAACAGGATAATCTCCAAGGTCCCTTCCAACCTGAATTATTAGTGAGGTGAGGGCCCTTGTAATCTATTGTTTATAAACATGTTGAAGGAGTTTTGCTTAGCTTTTGGTCCACCTTGCCTGTTCTAGAAGTGTTTATATGCATGTCATGTTATGACGCAAGGTCAGGTCAATAGAGGACAGGGAGGGGCACTACCTTGAGCCCTTTTCGATTTGACCAGTCTACCAGTTTCCCGAGAAAGACAAGACCCTTGTACCCGACCTGCCTGCCCCCCTGGGCAGCCTGCTAAGTCGGAGGGTGTTCATCTGACCTGTTCAGGGGTCCCATGGGCAGTGCACTGGGCCAAGTCCCTTATATCCTCTGTATCAGTTATGAAGTTTCCGGAAACGTATATTTGTGTATATATGACGAGTTTTATTACATATGCTCATGACAGGATACAGATTCGAAGATAGCCGGTGATAGGTACTGACTGTGAAAACATGACTTATCAGTAATTCTAACTAGCTGTAAGGTGTTAGTAACTAAGTGCACGTATCACAGAGCTCTTACCCAATAGGCGTCCCTGTGGGGGGGAGAAGACAGGTCCAGCCCATTGACTGATCCCAGACATTCCAGTGGAGTTCTTCCCCCAACACCCCCTTATCTTAAGCCATTTTTATACTTTCAGGTGGAGCTCGAGTGACTCTAATCATGCATGTCTTTGTCAGGCTTGGTGTAAATTTTCCTTGCTTAGATTTAAAGGTACAGGCAAGAAGAAATTCAGGGCGCCTGCTCAGTGAGGAGGTGGTCACAGCCTGGAGGCGGGTAGCTTTTGGGATGGAGGTGTGTTTTGGTATTACAATGAGCAAAGTTCACCTAAAGGAAAAGAATTTTGCAACTTGTTGAACATTATCATATTCAAATTGCCTAAGTAAAAGCCTGGCTAGATCTTGGTGTCCTAACTCTGTTCACCACCATTGTTGAGGCAGCAGTTGTGATCCATCTTCCCTGCCAGCTGTGTGGTTCTCTTTGCCAGCCATTTTCTATCCCTGGGAACAGGGAGGAGCTGTGGTACCCTTGTACCACTCTGCTCCCCGTTTCAAGGATGTCATACGTTCTGTTCGGCCGGGGCAGGCCTTGTCCGTGTCAGCCACATTCCGTTCCTGGGAGCAGCAACTGTGTCTCGCCTCAAAGCTGCTTTAATATTACAGCTGTGAGCTGAACTTTGGGGATCAGTGTTCCTCCATTGCCCCCATTTCGGTTATTTTTCCACAACACATTACAAACGTACAGACATCTCACAGATTTGATCTTGTGCTGTAGATGGAATGATATGTAGGGGAATCTCCTTCCTCACTTGTTCCTCTTAAGATTTAACACCTCTAATGGGTTCTCTTTTTGGAGATGTAAGGTAAATCGAAGTAGCTTTGAGGTAAATAACTTGTTCCTGAGTATGTCTGTATCTGAGGGACCAGTGACTGCTGCTCTTGTTTTACTGAGATTAAGCTCTTAGCAGACAGTTGTCTCTCTTACCTGTGTCAGTAATGCACCTGGCTGTTTTATTAACTTTAATAGCAAGCAGAAGCATGCAAAATCAGCAGATGGTTGGATTTTTTCTTCCTAGGTCAAGCTTCTGGATTTGTACGTACTAAAATGCTTGTAACGCTTTTTGTATTTGATTTTCAATGTTCACAGCAATTGGAAGAAAAAAGTGAGGATGAAGAGGATAAAGAGTGCTTAAAGCAAGCAATAACTGCTCTACTAAATCTTCAAAGCAGTATGGAACGGATATGCTCCAAAAGTCTTGCAAAACGAAGGCTTAGGTAAACACGTTTCCATTTTTCCTGCTTTCTGCTCTTAATGCTTTGCTATAAATCCACGGCTCCCAGTTTCCTCTTTTAGTAAACAATGAACAAAATAGTTTGCGACAAGCCTGCTTTTTCAGAGGAAGTGACATCAAAGCCAAGATAATTTGTTATTGTTTTAAAACCGTTCTAATTCTATGTGTCCTTGCATACTGGTAGTTGAGACGTTCTGAGAATTCACTGGTAAGTAGAAAGTTAAAATATTTGTGAGTTAATTATGCTCAGATAATAAATAGCCACCTAAAATTACTGTAAAAGTACGTTTCTGTGTGATTAGAAGAGAATGTTCTTGAATTTGAAACTACTTAGTCAGAAGAGTGTTTTGTGCAATGGCTAGTTAAAATTACCACTGGATCATAGAAGCATTTAGGTTGGAAAAGACCTTTAAGATCATCGACCGTTAACCTAACACTGTTAAGTCCACCCCTAAACCATATCCGGATAATAAAAATAGTTGCATAGATAACTAGTACTTAGTTGTACTGTTGTAGCAAATTTTTGGATTATACCATCTGCTGTTTGATTTTAATGCTAATATTTGTGCAATTATTTAAACATGTCAAAACTTTGCTTTTGCTCTAAAAATTGCTTCAGTATTTTCTTTGCCAAGCAAGTTCTGTACTGCAAAGTGTAATCTTTAGGCTTGGACATGAATATATTTAACAGCTTGTTTTCTCTGAATACATTTCTTTCAAATCAATGCAGTCTAAAATTGTTTGTCAGCTGTGCAAATGGGTGGTTTGTTAGACTAAGAAGCTGAGAAGCACTAAGAGCTTGCTGCTTCTGGTTGCCTGTGTTTAGGTAAAACATTTATTGCATAGAAGATAAGTAGAAAATTTATCAGATGACGTACTTAAACATTAGTCAAGGCTTGCAATAGTGCTGGTAATCAGTGCTGAAATTGCATTCTGAGTGGAATTCTCGCCACTCAGAAAGATGATCTTGTGTTTTTGCTGTTAGTGGTTGTGGCTTTTAAATACACATGTACTAATAGGCTGCCTTTCTCCCATCCTTCACTGAAGTGAATCTGCATGCCGATTCTATACTCAGCAGATGAAGGGGAAACAGCTAGCAATTAAGAAAATGAATGAAATCCAGAAAAATATTGATGGTTGGGAGGGTAAGGACATCGGACAATGCTGTAACGAGTTCATCATGGAAGGAACACTCACGCGTGTAGGAGCAAAGCATGAGAGACACATATTTCTGTTTGATGGCTTGATGATTTGCTGTAAGTCAAATCATGGCCAGCCAAGACTTCCTGGTGCTAGCAACGCAGAATATCGTCTGAAAGAAAAGTTCTTCATGCGAAAGGTACAAATCAACGATAAAGACGACACTAATGAGTACAGACATGCTTTTGAAATCATCTTAAAAGACGAGAACAGTGTTATTTTTGCTGCTAAATCAGCTGAAGAGAAAAACAACTGGATGGCAGCATTGATATCTTTGCAATATAGAAGCACACTGGAAAGGATGTTGGATGTAACAATGTTGCAGGAAGAAAAAGAGGAGCAGATGAGATTTCCAAATCCTGAGCTTTATAGGTTTGCAGAACCTGACTCTGAAGAGAATATTGTGTTTGAAGAAAACATGCAGCCCAAATCTGGAATCCCCATCATCAAGGCAGGAACTGTTGTCAAGCTCATAGAGAGACTGACTTACCACATGTATGCAGGTGAGGCACTTCATTTATATAGCCCAAGCTCCAGGTGGTGACTACTTCGTGCTTCTCTTTCTCTGTTAAATACATGCAACAAAATATGTAAAGTGTGTAGAATGTTGAATATGCTTTGCAGTGCATATATTCTAACATGCTTATTGAGTGTAGACTTCGAGATCTAAATATGCACAGCTGTAGCAGTGAAAAATGAGTCCTGTTTGGCTGAAAGTACAGGGATACGCATATGCGTAAGGTGATTCTCATGCAAGGGATGGGGGGGTGGGGGCCTGCAGGAATTGAGCTGTAGACAATACCTTTTCCTGTATGCCTCAGGCAACGGGAATTGCCTTCCCTCCAGACTTCCAAAGCAGGGGAGCACATGAAGTGCCAGTATTGCAAGAGAGAATTATAGACCCACTATTTTCAGTTAAGGATGGTACTTATTACCTGTGACCGTGCCGGTGTGTAATGAAAAGACCAAATACCAGCTTGCTAGAAGCAGTCACTTGGATAATTTGGCCTCGGAACTTCACCTTGATCAGGATTTCAGTGAGGATTTGATTTAAGGAATTTTGACTTCAGGTTTCTGTTTGTGTTGAAGATGCCTAGAAGCCATTTATGTGATCATCCAGTCCAACTTCAGTGTGTAGAGTTTTTCTTTATAGTTTCCCAGGATTTTCATAAACTGTGCTGAAAAGCATGGGCTTGGATTTTGGGTTTGGATTTTTTCTTTTTTTTTTTTTTTTTTTGTATTCTACCTGTATGTCAGTTATTCCGAAACTTCATGCATCTTGGTATTAATGCTTCGCGTATTCAACTGTAGATTTTTTATTTTTTTAAATTTCTTTTTACGCTCTGATTATCCTAAGTTGTTCCTCTGCAGCTCAGTCCTGGATACCCTGCATAGAGGAGGAATATTTGTTTGGAAGAAGTGGGGATTAAGCAGAATATAATTAGTGTGGTTTAGTACTTTTGTTTGTTTTTTAAATGCTTGTAAATACATCTGTTTACTCTGTTACTTTTATTGCTCTTCTCCACATTTCCTTCAGTTGAGCTTTCCTAACATTTATTAGAAACCCAATCACTGCTGCAGTTTTTACCAGAGCAGTTTTCTGCCTGTCTTCATTTTCTTGTAACTTTATAAACTTTTAGCTCTTGGCTTCAAATTTTACAGGCATGATTTATGACATAATTTCATGTTTTTGCGAGTTAAAATAAAACAATTCAGCCTCAGAGAAAGGAAGGCACTTTTTTTTTTTTTTTTAAAGCTAACATTCTGTTTGGCAGAGAATTAGCAAAAATAATACTTCGTTAGTGCCCTTGTGAACATTTGCTTTGGCTGACTTGTGCACTGGGACTTTGATGTCATAGCCTTGGCGTTGCTCCAAGTGCTCTCTCTCTGTCCCGAGAGCCACAAGCTACATTCTCCAGTTCCATAAAGCAGAAAGGCTTGTTTTTAAGGAACACGTGACTGGTTGAAATATGTCTGTTGTGTTAGTTTTTTGCATCTGTATGTCTTTTTGGCCTTTCTAGCACATAGGACAGCAAGGAAGAATTCAAATTCTATTGATTAGATCCACCTTCATCCACAGTCATTTAAATCCCTGCTTGTAACAGCTCTTATTTAATAAAGCTTTAAGTAGGTTGCTTGAAGTCTTAATGTTGTAGGTCTGTGTGATGTTGACCAAACTACTGTATGACAAAACTGGGAATGTGGATACTGTGAGACAGGCTGCAAGACTTTGACCAGAAGAATAAAAGTGGTTATCTTGTGTATTTAGCCTGTCTTTGTAGGCTTAGAGATCTTAGTGCAACATACATGGACCTGATGCTGAATTGCTAGGTTGCACATCATTTCTCAACACCCTTTTTCTTGCATTCTGTACCTTCTGTTTTATAATTGGTTTTCTATGAGGAAAATGTTGTCGTTGTAACCATTCTGTGCTGTCTTTTTCAGGGGAACAAAGAAGTACAGATATAGTGACTCAGCCAAAATGCTCTGTTGTACAGGAAACAAGTTCCATTTACTAAGTAAATCATTCAGTGTTTTGTTGCATTTTATGAGATACAGTGAGTAGGGCAACAACTTTCCGTATTAACCCTTTAGCTCTTCTTTCGTACACATACCAGCTGAGTTCAAGGCTTCTGTTTTGTTTGGAGACGTGGGAAGATGAGTACTCTGGGGATATCTAGCCAAACAGCTACAGACTGTAGCAATGTTTTTCTTGCCCCACACAGAATTGTGATTGTAATCTTAAGAGAATTTATTGACTTTATATGTCAGAACAGCAAGCCCATAGTTTTCCGAGGCAGTTTTTCTCAAACGTGGTGTGACTGGTTATGGCAGTCCTTCATCTGACAGTCTAAAGACAGTGTTTTCCGTAGCTGTGACTGACGCTTTTCTAGGTTTTTATCTTTGTAGGTCAAATCCTATAAAGAATAATTACAGCTATAATTACAGAGGTGGTACCAATTTGTTGCAAGTGGCTGAAGAGCAGTTTAGTTAGTTGCATATTAAGTATATAGGCTGTGTTCAGATGGTAGTCAAATCAGCTCTCAAATTTCTTGTCGTCTCTGAAGATCCACACAGTCCATCTCATTTGTAGATACAGGCGTTGGACCTTTATTTTTCTTCCCTCACCTGCCTGACAATGCAAAAACCAGCTTGTCAGCTGAAATATTTCTCTGTTTTGCTGTGGAACAGGGATAGCCCAGTAGCCTAGCTTTAATGAAGTGTTGCTGCGGAGTGTAGCCACTAGAGAGCTAGGACAGGGAGACAGCCTGATGGCCACCTGTCCGCAAGGCATGGCAGGCTGTCCGAACCATCCTGGGGTGGAGCGGCAAAATAGGGAGAAATCTCCTCTTCAGAAGCAGCTTTTCATATATTTTTACATGAGAGAAACTGACGCTGTTTGCATATTCTAGTGGGTTTTACTTGTTTTAGTGTATTTCTACATTCATTATCTCCTCTTTTGACTGATTCTTGTTTAAGGGCAGCCAAGTTAGGTGGTACCAAGATTTGAAATCGTGGCAATTTTTTATCTATAGGACAGTGATCTTCTGTTTTTAAAGCTCTGATATGTTAAGAGTGCTTTTGCGTCATCATAGTGTCCGTTTCCTTTCTTAAGGAATCCAAGGGTGATTATTTATAAAACTTTGTAGAACAAGTTATTGTTCTTTTTTAGCTTTCAGATTGGCTGTATTGAAGAGAGAATTGTCACATGAGCAGACATCCTGACTAACTAGTGTCATCTGTATTTTTTTAATGCTTACTTATATTACAGATTTTGCTAGTAAGACAACAAGATTAGATTTGATTTTCTGATCTACTTCATTTGAAATTCAATATATATAGTGGATTTAAACACTGACCCTACCTGTCAATAACAATAGCTAGGACTCAGAGCTTGCAGTGATCTGAAAATGTTAATGGCTCTGGAGGCTTTCATTTTCATGTAGACAAAATCTATTTAGGGTGGATGCTGTGTACAGAATGGAAGCTGTGAAAACATGAGTTACTGTGCTTACTTCTATACTTGTTTTTTAGGACAACAAAAATTGTGTATTTTCATGATGAGGATGACGGGGACAGGGATGACATTCTTCATGCAAAAGATTTGGAGTTTTGCCTTTGAAAAGGGTTTTAGACTGTACAGTTTCAAGGAGAGGTGGGAGAGGCGTTACGATAAGAAAAATGGAGGAATGAAGGACATAGAGATGGTAAAGCAGAATAGCCAATTGTTTAAGAAATATGAATTAGCATAAAACAGAAATGCAAGGAAATGCTGTGTTACACAATACATGGTTAATCTGTGTGACACATTACAGTAAACTATTGCCCCAACGAAGAGCTTAGTAGGATCTAAGAAAGGAAGAATGTTCGTTCAAATGGACAAGATGCTGGTAAATAGTTAAGGAGGATATTTTAAAAGCTCTTAAAAACACATGTTCCAGGAAACCAGGCTAATGGCTTAATACAGTGTTAGATTAAATAATGCAGGCATTTTTTTCTTCATTACAGCCTATAGGAACACCTGCTTCAAGTCCCGTGTGCTCCTTTTCAGCCACTCTGTGTTAGAAAAATTACCAATTGGGATTTGTTTTTAAAATCTGTGTATGAATTTAATATGCAAAGCCATTGCAACCTGCTCGTTAATTTTATTGATAACAATGTTAACCTTGTTTCTAGTCAGCTCTGTGCAGTGCCAGCATGCTGTCACTGCATTTCTTCATACTTGAAAACAATGGGTTTGCTTTTGTAATTAAGGGAGACACTTTGGTTTTCTGTTTTGACTGCTTGACTGTTTTCAAAACGCATTTGAATATTTTAAATGAGCTGATACATAATGAATCAAATTAAATATGTTGATTTTCTTGAAGTGAAGTAAATATAACCTCAAAGTATAGCTGTTGGTTAGCTGAAAAAAGTACCTAGCCTGCCTTAACCACACCTGGTTATCAGTTGTATCAGTTTAGGGAAAACGTTCTCCCCTTGAAGAGGCCGTTTCTATGCAACGTAAAGTTATTTTCTGTATTTTTTGAGTTATCTTGTCCTGATCGTTGTCAAAAAGAAAGTTGTTTACCAGATGACTCACAAATAAAATAATCTATTTATTATTTTAGAAGTCGTTGAAATAGAATCCAGTCTCTTAATAATTGAAGGGAAAGAAAAAGTCATTGTTTTGAATTTTCAACAGAATAAAAATTGGTTTTAAATTCTGCTTTGTATTGCTATTTTAAAAGGTTCTGAATTGTTACGAAAGCGATTTTGGTTTACATTACCTTCTGTAAATTGATGGGCCGGCATCCTTAATTTTAAAAGATACTTGGACTCATTTTAAAAGATACTTGGACTCATTTTAAAAGATACTTGGACTCATTTTAAAGTTTTAAAAAAAAAAAGTAACTGCTGACATGAGCATAAAATTATTATTTGTCTTAGATCCCAACTTTGTTCGGACTTTTCTCACAACGTACAGATCCTTCTGTAAACCTCAAGAGTTGCTGAGTCTGCTAATAGAAAGGTATGCCACTGTTAAAAATATTGTTCATACAAAGTCCAAATTTTATTTTTTTTAATGTTTACTTGGAGCAGAGTTTGTAAGATTCTTGTTTTCCAGTTGGTTTTGATTCACTCCAAACACTTTTTTAAAAAGTTGTCAAATTCAAGGATTGCAAGTAAAATGTGCAAGTTATATCCAGATGCTTTAGGACTGTTCAGGTAGCTCCAGTAACTTCCAGCATCCCACAGTTTTGTCTTTGAAATCTATACCGTTACCGAATTTAGCAAATCTTCCTATGTGCTTACCAAGATGTAAGATTCTGAGGTGGTAAAGTTCTGAATTTTGAGCTATCTTAAATCAACATTTATTTGTGCATGCTGTGAGCAAGATTAGTGTAAAGGAGACTAGCACTTATACCCATCTTCTGTGCTAGATTTGAAATTCCAGAGCCTGAGCCAACCGAAGCTGATCGTATTGCTATGGAGAACGGAGACCAGCCTCTTAGTGCAGAGTTAAAAAGATTTAGGAAAGAGTACATTCAGCCTGTGCAGCTACGGTGAGTATTGCATCAATGTGAGCCAAACAGACTTCCTTCAAGTCTTTTGGAGTGCTATCTTTTGGATGCAGTGACTCTTTGTGATACCAACAGCCTTTCTTGATGGTGCTTTGATAGAGAGCATGCATGGGCAGTCGCCATTTTGACTTTGCTACTTGAAAACCTGGTGGGAATTTGAATTCATGGCATGAAAAGCTAAATTTGAAGTAGAAAAATGCTTATAGGTGGTTACTGGTGAGATGCAGGCAGTAGAATAATTGCATTTGGTCTGCTGATTCTGATATTCCTGTGAGCCCTCACCTACTAAAAGCCTTGAAATGTTAGACATGAAGATAGACTGTATTGTAGAGTGCTTGCTTATCCCTTATTTTTGCAGAGTATTAAATGTATGTCGACACTGGGTAGAACACCACTTCTATGACTTTGAAAGAGATACTGATCTTCTGCAACGTTTGGAGGAATTCATTGGAACAGTGAGAGGTACTTATGGTTTCTTAACTGCTGTCATTTATCATAAAACATCCCTTTTCAAAAGTATGGAATGGGATCACTTTTCCTTTCACTGAACAGATAAAGAAAACCAGGGCTGACTGCTTATTAAATACTTCACAAAGAACATAAAATAAACCTTAATTTAAGAAAAACCCCACTATTATTATTCAAAGTCTGGCCCCTGTTCAGAGAGTGTTATTTACATCCTGGTAAATAAGTATTGTTTTTTTTATAAAGGGACTGAAATAATGCAAAATAATAAGAACTGAGTAACGATCAGGACAGAGTAGTTGCTTTGATTGTCCTCTTAAACTATATACAGGGGTAATTTTTATGAAAGTTTGGTGGTAGAAACCACTATTTCTTTGAAGCAAGAGTTTTACAGCTGTTTAACAGCACATATTAGACCTGCAGGACACCTTCCAGTTGTGATTGTACAGATCTTTCCTGTTCCCTTGTAAGAAAAACTGAGACAGCTACAGGAGCAGTTTGTAGGAAAATATTATGTTAGAGAATTATTTAATGCTTATTTCGCAATTAAAAGGAGGAGGAGAATGAGCTGGCTAGTTTAATGTGTATTACTGGTAAATTTTCAATTTAATGAACTTGCCATCTCATGCTTGAGATTATTGTGCTGTAGAGCTAACCAGACATTTGGCCTTTGGGGTTTATGCTGAGCTTTGATGCTAAATGCAGTAGATGGAGAAGCTTCTCCCTGTTTGTCATTTTGCCCTTCTGTGTTACCTGAGGTAAGCAGGTACTCTTGCCCGAAGTATGAAGTTCAGGGTGTTTACGTAAGTGTGTTTTGGGCAAAAGAAGCTTGGTTCCCATTCACACCATAAAGTCAGAACAGAAAGGATTTGGAGCAGGAGCCTAATTTGGGTGTTCTGAATTGTGCTTGGGCAAATGTGGCATGCTCAGCATTGGCTGTTGAGGAATTCTTCTTTATACGTTCAGATGCTTTGAGACTTGTGTGAGAGCACCACTTATGCACTTCTACGGAGTATATGATTGCTTAAATTTAGGTTTTGGGTTTAAATCCAAAGATTTCTAAATTATACTAGCCTCTTTGAAAACATAGCATCGAGAGTAAATAAATAGTAAATTTTTCTCTGTGTGCCAGGCAAAGCGATGAAGAAATGGGTTGAATCGATCACAAAGATAATCAACCGGAAAAAACAAGCACAAGCCATTGGGCCAAGTCACAACATCACTTTTGAGAGTCCGCCTCCCGCGATCGAATGGCACATAAGCAAACCAGGACATACAGAGACTTTTGACTTGCTCACTTTGCATCCAATTGAAATTGCTCGGCAGCTCACTTTACTTGAGTCAGATTTTTACAGGTAACTTTCCTCCATTGAAAAACACATGACACAAACCAAAATATTCTCCAGCATGAAATTGTTTCTGCGGGCCCCTGCTGTGAAGCCCCACGGTAGGTCAAGGGGCTTTACCAATGATGTACATTAATTGCTATTTTTTCAGAAAAAAAAAAGTATCTAAAACCCAACATTAGTCTTATCCTCCCCAAGTTAACGTGTGGTACATGTGACTGATGCATGCTATAAATTGCATTGTCCTGCAGGTTTCTCTTGGTATATTCTGAGTAGATCAACCTTTGAGAAGTATGAACATTAATTAAATTGGTTTTCTTCATATCCTAGTTTGTGAAGCAAATTATGGACCGTGTCAGATCTCACCAGCTGTTTGTGAGAGATTGTTCAGGCTTTGGAAGCTCCCATTGTATTATGGTGAATGAGATGTAGACTTCGTTCTCCATTTAGATGAACAGAGGTGGTTAATAGTCACATAAATGAAGAAATATTTGCACACTAAAAAAGAAGCATAGAAATACTAGTCAATTAGTCGTGTGGGGAGCCTAACATTATAGAAGAGAAGTGATACCTTAAGAACTTAATTCCAAATATTAATTCCAAATTCACTGGAAATAAAGAGGTTTTGGGAAAAAGGTATCTTCTTTCCTACTTTTAATTCCATTTTTTGATACATGCATCTACTTTTCTAGAGCTGTGCAGCCATCTGAACTAGTTGGAAGTGTCTGGACAAAGGAAGATAAAGAAATTAATTCTCCCAACCTTCTCAAAATGATAAGGCATACAACTAACCTCACTTTGTGGTTCGAGAAGTAAGTGATTTTCCTGACTCTGCACCTACTCGATTTCTGGGCATTTACTGTCCATTCAGAAGTATACTCTGAAAAATTCCATTCTCGAGAAATCCAGTTTTAAGTCGTGTTTAGATGCTACAACTGGTCCCTGCAAGAACTTTACTATAATCATCTCAGCTTGTTATTCTTAGGATATGTTTTTTCTCAAAACATTTTCAAAACTGTGTCAAGTAATTTGATAAACTTTTCGTATTTGTTTGTGTTACAACTTAATATTTGATTTTGGAAAATGTGGCAACGTTGTAATACAAAATCAAATGTTCTTGTGTGTTTAGATGCATTGTAGAAACAGAAAACCTAGAGGAAAGAGTAATTGTAGTCAGCCGGATAATTGAGATCCTGCAAGTTTTTCAAGAGCTCAACAACTTTAATGGCGTCCTTGAGATTGTCAGTGCTATGAACTCCGCAGCAGTGTATAGGTTGGATCACACGTTTGAGGTACAGTGGAATGTTTCCTGGTTTTGGTATGGAAGTGTAGTGCAGTGCACCTGAGCGACGTTAAAGCCTGTCTTTTTAGTAAGCATGTCCTTCAGAGAAGGAGCAAGGAAGGTAAACCCCCCAACAAATGAATCAATCAGGGTGTAATAGAGAGGGAAGAAGCCAGAAACCAATCTATGTTTAAGAAAAGCAGAAAAAGGTAGCAAGATCCTGAGTTCGTAGGACACTGGCCTCCTGGTCACTGACTTAAATATCAGTGGGAGACCATTACTCTCAGTATTGTTGCCTGGCTACACCTTTACCCTGTCTTTCCAAACAACGTGTTTCATCTGTCTTTTTAGCAAATTCCAAGTCGCCAGAAGAAGATTTTAGAAGAAGCTTATGAGCTGAGTGAGGATCATTATAAGAAATACTTGGCAAAACTCAGGTCCATTAATCCTCCTTGTGTGCCTTTTTTTGGTAAGTACATTTCATTTGAATGAGCTGTATCATGCATAAACATTTGGAAAGTTTTGAGATCAAGTGCCCAGACATTAATTGCATAATATGAAAGAAAAATTAAAGTGACTATTAATTGCAGATCTTATTTGCAGTAAAAGTAAGTGTATCTGTGATGTTGTGTTTACATATTTACTCATTTTTGCTTTGAATGTGGTTTGAACTGTGTTGTGGCCATAAATGCCTTAAATGGAAGGCAACAGAAATAGAAACTGTGGCACGGACTGCACCCTCAACAAGTTTGCTGATGACACCAAGTTGTGTGGTGTCGTCGACATGCTGGAGGGAAGGGATGCCATCCAGGAGGACCTTAACAGGCTGCAGAGGTGGGCCTGCGAGAACCTCATGAAGTTCAGCAAGGCTAAGTGCAAGGTCCTGCATGTGAGTTGGGGCAATCCCAAGCACAAATACAGGCTGGGCAGAGAATGGATTGAGAGCAGCCCTGAGGAGAAGGACTTGGGGGTGTTGGTTAATGAGAAGCTCAACATGAACCGTCAATGTGCACTGGCAGCCCAGAAAGCCAACTGTATCTTGGGCTGCATCCAAAGAAGTGTGGCCAGCAGGTCGAGGGAGGTGATTCTGCTCTTCCACTCTGCTCTCTTGAGACCCCACTGGGAGTACTGCATTCAGCTCTGAGGCCTCCAAGATAAGAAGGATATGGAGCTGTTGGAACAGGTCCAGAGGAGGGCCACGAAAATGATCTGAGGGCTGGAGCCCCTCTCCTATGAAAACAGGCTGGGAGTTGGGGTTATTCAGCCTAGAGAAGAGAAGATTCCAGGGTCCAGTACTTAAAGAGGATCTACAAGAAAGCTGGAGAGGGACTTTTCATAAGGGCATGTAGTGATAGGTTAAGGGGCAATGGCTTTAAACTGAAAGAGGGCAGATTTAGATTAGATATAAGGAAGAAATTATTCACTGTGAGGGTGGTGAGGCACTGGAACAGGTTGCCCCGAGAAGTTATGGATGCCTCATCCCTGGAAGTGTCCAAGGCCAGGTTGGATGAGGCTTTGAGCAACCTGGTGTAGTGGAAGGTGTCCTTGCCTGAGGTAGAGGGATTGGAACTAGATGATCTTTAAGGTCTCTTCCAAGCTAAACCATTCTATGATTATATGAAATATTATTACCATTGATCAGTAGAGAAAGAAGGACACCCTTCTCCATCAAGAATTCCAAGAAATAAAGCTAGAGTTTTAGTTTTTATAATTTCTTATAACTTAGAGTCTTATTTCTCTTGAAAAGTCTTATTTCTATAAAAACAGAGTTTGGGAAGGAAGCCTCTTTATCATCAGACGTAACAGCTCTTTTTTTCAAGTAGATTGCTTGGAATTTCTGATATTTAGCAAACTGTGAAGTTAAGCACATGGCATTAAATTTAGCAAGCTACTTGGATGTTTGCTGCAGATCACTTCCAACTCTGGACATTGCACTTCAACTTCAGACCAAAACTGAAAGGAAATAGTGTTGATGGCTTTTTTGGCCTTTTACAGATTGGAGAGCTCCCGAGCTGTACAAAGAAAGATAAGATCAACTAAGAAACCTGTCCTGCTTCAGAGATGAGTAGAGCTCAGCAGGATCACACATGATTAGCTTCAGTTATTTCTCTCAAGTTGTACTTAGAAGAGTCATAAGGACAGATCCAGATATATTATCTGTGGACTTGAGCGCACTCTTTTCTTTCTAATCTTTAAGTGATTTGATGCAATTATGAAGCCAGGAGTGGAGAGTGGAACAGAAGAGTAAAACCTGGAAATACTTTTTTGGAGCTTTGCTGGGATCTGTAATGGAGTAGAGCTGAATTGAGGCAGAAGAGTTGAGAGAAAGCACTTGAGTTCGGTGTACTCTCATCTTGCAAAATACTAGTAGTGTTCAGTTGTGTGATCTTCCTAAACAATAAAAAGATGCACAGACTTTGAGATTTTGATGCAAAAAAGGCAGCTTTCTGGAAAAGGCAGAAATGTTAAAATATTTAAATTGTTGGCCTTATTTGAAAAATAGGTGTGATCCTTTTCTTGACCCTAACAGATAATTTATCTAAATAATTAGAATGCACAAATTACATTATTTAAGATTTTTTTTAATTCCAGTCATGTGACTTCCTCCTTGGTTTGTACTATATGTTGAGAACCTCTTCTGTGTGCTGTTTAGGTATTTACTTAACTAACATTTTGAAAACAGAAGAAGGCAACCCTGAATTTCTAAAGCGACATGGGAAAGAACTTATAAACTTCAGCAAGAGAAGAAAGGTAGCTGAAATAACAGGAGAGATACAGCAGTACCAGAACCAGCCATATTGTTTAAGAGTGGAATTTGACATCAGGGTAAGTGGCATTATTCCCTTAAGTCCATGCGCTGAGCTATTTTTGTGGTGATTCTCTCAGCTGATAGACCATAAGGATAGACTGATTTCACATAGATTCAATCAGGCAGAATCAGAGATGAGCAGAAGTCCTGTCATAAAACCTCTCTGAGGTCTCACTGTAAGAAAGGACAGAAAGCTCAATGCTTACCATTTGGTGGATTCCCCCCCCCGACAGCTATTAGGATGTTGGTAGGTACATCTTATTGATCAGTGTTAAAAGGAACAGAAACTACCAGATTCTCGCTGTCCTTCACTTGATTGCATTTATTTGTCCAGTGAGCCCAGGTGTCTTTTTCTTCCTCTGTTACACTGCCTTTATGTTTCTAGGTTCACCTGATAGCGCTGCATTTACATCATGTGTTGTTGGCGATGATGCTCACGTTTTTCTTTCTGTGGCCGTTCGTTCTCCTTGGTCTGCGTTGTTCTCTAAGCAGTCCTCTCTTTGTTTGTTTTCCTTTCTTCCTTCTTTGTAAAAAAAAAAATATATTTTGAGCTACATACTTTCAAAGAGTCATAGGACAGATTTTCATAGAATTTCATAGAATTTCCTGGTTGGAAAAGACCTTAGAGATCATCCAGTCCAACCGTCCCTAATCCCCCATTAAACCATATCCCTAAGCAGTTCGTCCACCCTTTTCTTAAACACATCCAGGGATGGGGACTCAACCACCTCCCTGGGCAGCCTATTCCAGTGGATTCTCTGAAGATATTCTGCAAAATTTTCTTCTGTTATTTGTTCTTCTCCGAGTTTGACAGAAGGCATTGTGAGAGCAGTCTTCCCTGCATCAGTGTAAAGATGGACTACATACAACTTCTTCTGAAGGCGTTTGAGCTAACCTGGTCTGATTTTTGCACTGCAGAAAGTGTTCAGGGTACTTGCACAGTTGGTTTTCAGGCCAAGCATAGCAGTAGCAACGCCCAGCAGAGGACTGGCAACAAGCAAATTTACTAACTTAAAAATTTCTGACTCCAGTGTTTTCTCTCTTCTCTGGAACAGTTGGGATCATTTGTGCACTAGAAACAAACAGTACTAAGCTACTAAGCAGTAGCTTAGCTGACGAGTTTTCTACCTTCTTGTATTTCAGAGATATTTTGAAAACCTGAATCCAATGGGAAGCAGCATGGAGACAGAATTTACAGATTATCTGTTCAACAAGTCACTAGAGATAGAGCCGCGAAATGTCAAGCCTCCACCAAGATTCGTTAGTATTCAATGTCTTTTTAATTTATCTTTTTTTTTTCCAAAAATGCTTACATTTGACTTTCACAGATAGCAGAAGTCATTTTAGATCTCTAACTTCATAAATACAAGGCTACATTTAGGTGATCTTGTGGCTTTTTGATTTTATTTGATTCTCTTTTTGTCATTTCAGCCCAAAAAATACGGCTATCCTCTCAAGTCCCCAGGTGTTCGTCCCTCTAATCCAAGGCCAGGTACCATGAGGCATCCTACACCCCTGCAACAGGAGCCGAGGAAAATTAGTTACAGCCGCATCCCAGAGAGTGAGACCGAAACTACAGCATCTGCACCAAACTCTCCCCGAACACCTTTGACCCCTCCTCCTGCTTCTGCTACTTCAAGTACTACAGATGCCTGCAGTGTGTTTGACTCGGATCCTTCAAGTCCTTTTCATGCAAGTAGGTGCTACTGGATAGTTTACCAAGAACGTGCACATTAGATTTTATGGTGTTAAACAGATGAAATCGTGTTTAGTCTTTTAAAGTGACTATAGAATAAGTTCAGGGTATTGGTTTGGTGCTGTGGTGATACAGGAACAACTTTGTGGTGTGGTTTTGGTCTTGTTCTTAAGAATGCGCAGGGAATGATGGCCACAGAGATGATTGCAGCTCGGAAAAGCAGTTTGTCTGGAAGCTGCAAGTTAGAGTTGCTTGGTCATGTTTGTTGAATGCCTTCCTGATTCATGCTGCTTTTTATGAGCAATTACTTTATTATTTATTACACCTTTATTGGCAGCAATAAAGGAAATATGCTGAGTCAAACAAAAGTTCTTCATTATCAGGGCTGATTTTTTTTGTGTTTGCCAGGATCTGCTTCTGTGTCATCCATAAACTTTACCAAAAATTCAGATGAAGCTCATGTCCCTCCTCCAGTTCCACCACGAAGACGACCAGAGTCTGCCCCAGCTGAATCCTCCCCATCAAAAGTAAGTAAGGAGAAAAAAGGGCATTTTTTCTGGGAGCAGAGGGCAGAGTATGATAGAAAAGTAACTCTTAAAGATAGTACAAGTATTTTTAAAGAACAGTACATGAAAGAGTAAGCAGCCATGTCTTTCAAGCCTTCACATCTCTGCTTAATAATGTCCCGATCCCAAATGAATGAAAATTAACAGATAGTATCTAAATTTAGGGTTAGAAATGTCTCGTCTATTGATCCACTATACTCAGACCCTCACGTTGCCTGTGAGAATTTGAGGCTTCTGGCAGGTGTTTCCATCTGTGATAATTGTCCCAGAGTATCAGTTTGGGGTGTATGAGTGGGGGTAAAGAACTGAAGAACAGTGTGGAAATCGATGTACACACCTCAGTCCTCTGAAAAGGCTCTTTAGAATATTTGGCCCTGATGCTGTGGTGCTCAGTGCTTTCTTTCCCATCTTGATCACCTGTCTTGTCTGCCTGACTGCTTAAGCCATTGCTACGTTTTCCTTTGCATTTGTCTGGCATTTGGGATCTGATCCAGCCTTTGTTGCAGACAGTGTCAAATATCTCTTGATTTCAGTGGGAGCTGGTTTGTGACTTCAGAGAATATGGTATATTTGAAAATCCCACTCAAAATTACTTCAAAGTATGTATGTCTTTGAAGAGGGCTTGTATATGGCTCTTCAGCAAGTTTTTGTTCTCAGACTATAGGTGACTATGCTGTCAGCCAGCAGCTTAACACATCACATTTCTACTAAAACGTAATTGAAAATACCATATACGTGACAGGGTGTTGGAGACCAATTACCCTGTCACCGTGGTCTGCAGCTTGGGAACTGTTCATGTCAATAATTCTAACTCCTTAATTCCATCTTGTGAGCGTAGCTTTTTTTCTGCCTGTTCAGCATCATCTGCCTCTCCCTTTTTCTCATTTTCTTGGAGAAATATCTGGTGTTATTACCCACCCCAAGTACTTGTTACTGGGGAGGTGGTGGAAGATATCCGGATCTAACCTGCAAGCAGACCTGGAACTAGCATGGATATTGTTGCTCTGACCATGCTTTGCATTGCCTTTGTTCCTTCTCTGTGTATCTTCATTCCTTCCATCCTTGGCTGTTAACTCATGTATTGATATACCCCTGCTTTCCCCTGCACATCGAATCTCTGTCTTTTCTGTCCACATCACTATGAGAAACTTGTTTTTCAAGCACCACCACTCCCTTTTGCTTCCTTGCTCCCCGTGTTCATTCTGCACCTGCTTGCTGTGTCTCCTCTCTAACTGAGTAAGAGCAATCTGCAGGGTAGGAGCTCTGCTTCCATTTCACAGCAGGGTCCTGTTCTTTACTGCCACTCTGAAATTTTATTGAGTGAATTGTTTGTGTACCACAGATTACTTCTGTGCACCTGGACAGCCCACCAGCAATCCCTCCTAGGCAACCAACCTCAAAAGTGTATTCACCGAGGTACTCGGTGCCTGACCGGACCTGCATCTCTGACCCCCCTGAAAGCCCTCCTGTGTTACCACCACGAGAACCTTTGCGAACTCCAGATGTTTTCTCTAGCTCACCACTACACCTCCAACCTCCACCACTGGGGAGAAAAAGCGAACTTGGTAACACCTTTTTCCCAAATAGTCCATCTCCATTTACTCCCCCTCCCCCTCAGACACCTTCTCCACATGTAGCACGAAGGCATCTTCCATCACCACCTTTGATACCACAAGATGTGGACCTCCATCCTGTTGCTGGGCCACCTATTCCTCCACGACAAAGCACTTCTCAACATATCCCAAAGCTTCCTCCAAAAACTTACAAAAGGGAGCACACACACCCATCGGTGCATCGAGACGGACCACCATTGCTGGAGAATGCCCACTCCTCCTGAACTATCCCTTGTGCTGAGAGTCGCATTTTCCTGGTGCTACGTCTGTTGCTGGCAATGGATACACTGAACCTGGTGGTGCCAAGGAGTTGAGATGTGTATGCCAAACACTAAAAACTCTCCAATAGATTGGAAATGCAGTGTACAGAAACGGAATTGCAAAAACAGACATTCTAGCGGAAAAACCGGTTAACTTGCTATTCTTGTTTTAGTATGCAGGACATTGTTCTAAAGTAATTGGACAACTGATTGTACCAGAAAACAGACTCAAGGGACTTCTTTGGCCAATGAGCAGAGACTGTGTTTGTGTAATGATCAATAATGTCCAGTACAGGAAGGAATAACAGTCTTGTATCCATCAGTTCCATACAGTGGCACAGTTTTTGGAATGAAAATATTATGCACTTTTTTTAAATCTCAAACAGGGAACTTTATATCCTTCTTAATTTTCCTTTGCTTTACTCCCTGCTTTAAAATACCTTCCTAAAATTATGAGAAGGACTGTGAGGAAGATCTGTGGTACCTAACGGAGCTAGGATTAAAGCAAAGCACTGTACTGCGATCCTGTTTACAAGTTGTTACAATGAGTAGCAGGGGGTACCTAGGCTTCACCAAAGAGGTACTTTATTATTATTTTCTGAAATATTATGGTGCCAGTTCAAAAGAGATTTTTGCTAGGAAGCATAATGTCTAATTATTGCTTTCTTTAGATAGAGCAGATGAAAGTCTTACATCATTAAGATGACGGCAATTTTTTTTTTTTAAAGCAGCACTATCATCCGAAGTAAATGTATTACTATATTTAGAAGACTGTTAATCTCTGCTAGGTTATGTCACGTTCTTTTTAAGGTTCACTGATAATCTACTTCATGGCTAGTAGCTATTCTTTTTCAGTCATGCCATGAAAACAGTCACTTGTGAAAAGGAGCACTCACTGGTCAACTTCCATAGCTATTGTCATATTTTACTAACAATATATTAATCAGCATACATAGAATTGCCTTGCAGTTGCATAAATCATGTGTATATAGTGAACGTTGCATAAATATACTTGCAGATTGTTTTTAATTTAATTGAAATAAAGATACAGATATGTTTGGCTGACATATGTTAAATTATTACGTGGACAAATGTGCAGCTCAGTTTTTCAGTTAAGCACTAAAGAGGATAAAAGCACGTGTTGTGGTACATATTTTTCCTAGTTCAGTGCATGTATTTCAGTAATAAGAGTCTAAAGACAAGTTGGTTTTGGTAACTACATGTTACCAAGTAATAATTTAGTAATACTTGAGAAGCTGGGTTACTCCCACAGTGAACTATTGCACGTTATAAAACTTCTCACATTTCCTGTGTGACACTTGTTAGGAAAATCGAAACTTATATTGATCTTTATAGTGGCTTTCTATGTCCAAAACACACATGGCAGAACATGTACTAAAGTATCATGCAGTAGTGCATGGCAGTTATTGAAGAAAAGAAGCTCTATAATCTCCACTGCAGTATATATGTGAAGCTTAAGGTATCTATTCTTCAGTTAATACAGCTCATGGGTCAAAGTAAAATTCTATCACATTTCCTTTTTGGAAGAAGAATACGTTTCTGTGTCTTGGAAAGCTGTGCCATTAGAGATGGTGTTAGTTGAATGATGATGGAAATCACGTTTTTTAATGCTTTCTGCAGTGCATCGATCAGTGCCTCTTGATCCCCTAGTGTGGTCGTTACTTTTCAGAAAGTGTTCTTTCATCAACAAGAATAGCAGTTTTCATCATGTTGAAATTTGTCAGTTGTATTCCTTCTTTGATGTCTTTAATAATGTTGTTTTGAAACATTTTCCTGGCAAAAGAAGAAAGAGTGAAGATCTCTAAACCTTGGTATCAGAGAAGAACATTATATGGGAGCTTTGTAAAAACCCTCAAGCTACAAAGGCATAGTTTAGGTTATTGGGTTTTTGGAGGTAAACACCATGATGGGTGTACTGCTGGCAGTGTCATGTGAATTATTATCTCTTAAGCGGATTACCAGGGAAAACTTAAATTTACACTTTCTGATTTGTATCTTTTCTTCTGTTTGCTCTTGTCTGTGCTTTTTTGCAGCCAAGGCAGACCAGGCATAAGGAATGATCCAGTGGTTAGGTTGCTTAGCTAGAAGGAAAGACCTCACATGGATTCTGCTAATCAACAGATTTCCTGAATGTCAGTAAGTCTGTGTTCCCCTTTGTGAAATGCAGAATGCTGTTTCACATCTTTGTGCTTGAGGATAAAAGTCCTTTACTGGTTAGGTACTCGGGCAACAGGTGACAATGGTCACCATGCAAGAACCTAATTTAAATGTGCTTTGGAGCCCACCAGAATGGGTCAGTCATACTGTGTGCAAATCATGGTGTTGACTCAGCAGCAAACAGGAAAGACAGGGTGAGAATCAAGCCTGTTGCATTTGGAATAGAAGTTTTGAGTACAATTGCTAAGCCACTGGTTTGTCTAATGACGGCTTTATTTGCGTTAATAATTATTTAATCTGGAATGACTTCTTCATTGAACTGTGTTTCTTTTAGTGACGATACTTTTCACATAGAAGATGAAATAATTTTAATGATGCTATCTATCTCCTTGGACCCTGCATGGTCTGGTGTGGCCTGGGATGATGACGTGGCCTGGACAATGAAACATGCTTGTGTGGAGGCTAGGTGAGTTGCTGTATTACTCTAGAGTGCTGGTGTATGGCTAAAAGTCAGCCTAAACAATTGCAAACTGTGTAGGCAGAGTTATAGAGGTCAGCAGAACTTTATAGGTGTGGTACTTAACAATTTGTGCTGTTTCACCTCAAGATTTCTACTTTATATATAGTCGAATGCTACAGTGGAGCATAACTTGGGTTTGTTCGTTTTCTTCCAGAGTGTCATGGTTGTGTGTTAGCTCAGAATTCCCTTAGGGAATCTGGAATTGCCAGGATTCCAAGTGCAAGGTCCTGCACCTGGATCGGGGCAACCACCAGTATTGATACAAGCTGGGGGATGAAGGGATTGAGAGCAGCCCTGTGAAGAAGGACTTGGGGGATATTGGTGGATGAAAAGCTGGACATGAGCCGGCAATGTGCGCTTGCAGCCCAGGAAGCCAACGGTATCCTGAGCTACATCAAAAGTGTGGCCAGTGGGCTGAGGGAGGTGATTCTGCCCCTCTACTGTGCTCTGGTGAGACCCCACCTGGAGTACTGCGTCCAGCTCTGGGGCTCCCAATATAAGAAGGACACAGAGCTGTTGGAGCGGGTCCAGAGGAGGGCCAGAAAAATGTTCAGAGGGATGGAACACCTATCCTAAGAGGAAAGGCTGAGAGAGTTGGGGCTGTTCAGTCTGGAGAAGAGAAGGCTCCTGGGAGATCTTATTGCAGCCTTTCAATACTTAAAGGCAACTTATGAGAAAGGTGGGGACAAACTTTTCAATATGGCCTGTAGCAATAGGACAAGGGGTAATAGTTTTAAAGTAAAAGAGGGTAGATTCAGACTAGATATAAGACAGAAATTTTTTACAATGAGGGTGGTGAAACCCTGGAGCAGGTTGCCCAGAGAGGTGATAGGTGCCGCTTCCCTGGAAACGTCTAAGGTCAGGCTGGACGGAGCTCTGTGAGCAATCTGATCAAGGGGAAGATGTCCCTGCTCATTGCAGTGAGTGTTGGACCAGATGACCTTTAAAGATCCCTTCCAACCCAAACTCTTCTATGATTTTGCAAATGCCATGTGTTTACTTCTGTTCAGTATGCTGTATGGAGGGTCAGCTGTCGTACTGCCTGGTGACCCCAAGGTCCATGCTGTTGTCATGACATTCAGCAGCCCAGGCTAAGTTTTTCTATAACTGTCTGCCAATGGAGAGTGTTACCCTGCTTCAGGATCAATACTATGGAAGCATTTGAGGGCTCTGTCCTTAAGAAGCCATGTCCAGTGTGGGCTAAACTGTTTCTCTAATGTGCCCTTCTTAAATCAGGGAGGGAGAGGTCTGTCTCAGTAAGACTATGCTTATGCTAATGCACTGGATTTAGATCCTTCAGGATTTAGATTGACATTGCGTGATGCATTATTTTTATTTTGCATGTATCTTGAATGAGACTTTCTGTTGAATTGGGTCTGATTCAAGCTTGGTGACGTCATTGGAAGTACCACTGTTGAAAGTAGGAGGTGGTTGTGCTTCAGGGAAGCTTTATTTTGCTACATGCAAGAAAAGTTTATTTTCATCCTGAATTGGTGCTGGGACAAATTTGCATTGCAGCAGACTGTGTGGCGATGCCAGTGCATTATGATAAGCACCGGTTCTGTTCTTTGTGGCTGTTGTCTCGATGTAGTGTGGCATTTTAGAGTCAGCCTCTGCTACTGGTATTTCTACCATTGCTGCAGTTTAAGCTCAACAAGAAAGAGCCCCTCATTCATGAATGTTTGTCTTACAAATTATATGAAAATTAAACAAAGTATTCGTTAATGCTTTGCTCCTGTGAGTAGTGCAATTAGCTGCAGTATGTAAAAGTCCCTCCTTGACTTTCTCCTTGCTGCCTTTTCCAGCCAGCAAGGAGGTAGTTGTTCAAAAAGACTGTTTTAAGATGATATTAAAAAAATTGCAAATTCTTACAGGCTGTCCCCCACACCTCAAAATACCCTTTTTTACTTGTTGAATTGTCATTTCAAAACCTAGATGATGCATGCATTGAAGCCTTTTTAGCTGTTTTTCATTAAAGAGAGAAACTTGTGGCCCAGTATGGTTGTAAAAACAAAAGTGCTTTTTACTTTGTGTCGTGGTTTTAGGCTGATCCAGCAACTAAAACTCACACAGTCTCTCCTTCTCCAGTAAAGTGGAGAGGAGAAAAATATAATAAAGGGACTGAGGGTTGAGACAAGAACAGAGGGAGCACCCACCAACCATGGTCCCAGGCAAAACAGACTTGGCTTTCTTAAAAGCAAAACAATTTATTGACGGTTACTTAAAAGGACAAAGGGAAACAAAACCGGTTACTTGAGAGGATAAAAAGAAACAAAGCCAGATCTTAAAACCGACACCTTCCTTCTCCCCCCCCTTTCCTTTTCCTCCCAGCTCTACCTCTTCCCCCAGCAGCGCAAGGGGCAGGGACTGGGGGAGTGCAGGTCAGT